GGAAGGAAGGTTGGGCAATCCTACTTCCGTAGTGATACTGCCTCGGAAACCCAAGGAGGGGTCGCTATGAGTCAGGGCTGACTCGACAGCACATAACAACAACAACAACAACATGTAATACATTATCACAATTTTAAAAAGTATCTGGAAAAAAAATAAATTGGGAGATATCATATACGGAAATGAGAAACATACACTAATAGAGAAGAGGGCAACTGTAGGGGGAGAAAAGGAAGAATTCAACATAAAATAACGAGGCTAAAACGAACTGTTGTTTAAATCATAAAGGCAAAAGGTGGGAGAGTCCTTGGGGGAAAGAGCAAACTAAAAGAGTTCCCAGTATATGCTTATGTTGGCCTGACAAGAAGAGAAGGAGCCAAGGGCCAGTCTGGCTGTTTCACATTGTACTCTGCTGAGGAAGATTTCTCTGCTTGTAGTATTGTAATACCCATGTGTGCACTGGTTGAACAATCAATGTATGAAGCTAGAAAATTCTAGAATAAAAGAATCTGGCTAGTCCTTGCCATTTATAATGAGATTCAGCCACCTGTGGTCCAGGCTTGCCCTGTAGTTGTCTCTGCTCCTAGAAGTGGAGAGTAATTCTAGGTGGTTTGAATAGTAGAGTGCGAGGGAAGGTAATCCTCAGGGACTTAGAGGAAGTGTCTCTGAAGGCTGGTCCTACATTAACCTAAGCCTCACAACAGCTGCTTCAACAGCATTATCTTCAGATATCTTCTGTAATACTGAGCATATATTTAGATCTGCCCATGCACGGTTGAAGAAGTGGTTCTGTTACTGTGTCTTTCTAATCTTTTACTGCATTTTTTTGATCTCTGTTACAGGAACTCCATGCTCCACTGACTATTGTTGCAGATGGGCTTTTCTCTAAGTTCAGGAAAAATTTGGTCTCCCATAAAGTTTTGGTTTCATCTCATTTTGTTGGCTTTCTTATGAAGGTACTGTAGGAGTGTGATTATAGAAAAATGAAAGCAACATAAAATTTGAAAATTATTAAAATATTTTATTTTATTTTTTCTAGAATGCACCACAGTTTAAAGAAAATCATGCTGAACTTATTTTAACTAATCCGAGTCCAGTTCTCATCTATCAGATTTCATCCAGTGAAACTCGAGTACTTGTTGACATTAGAGGAGAATTGCCAAGGAATTTAAGAGAATACATGACTGAAAAAATTTACCCACAAGTACCTGGTAAGAAATAGGATTCCACTCCCATTGCATCTACAGTCTGGAGGCTAATCCACAGAAGGCTACCCACAGAAGGCTGTCCAACTCCAGATCCTGCTAAAGTGGTTTCTAAAGTAGGCCAGAGATAAGTAGGTAAGGGTGGTTGGCAGGCAGTCAGTCAGCAACACTGGAGCTATACTGTTTACACTAGCACTTTAAAAAAAAAAAAAAAAGTTTCAATGTTTTTTTCATATTAATAATTATAGTTTTTAATATTTGATATATAGTATTACTTAAGGTAGTCCAGACATCAATCTTAGATGTTTACATTCTTGAAATATCTCTTCGACTTAACTATATTTGTGCTTGGGTTTTGTAATGATGGCTGCCATTTATTGAATGTCCATTACTGAAGAGGTGTTTTATAAACATTATTTTTGTTGTGTATGAGGTAGGCATTATCATTATTAGCCATTTAATACAGGAGGAAACTAAGGTTCAGAGATCTTCTCCAAGGGTAAACTATTAGTAATGACAGAGCCAGTGTTGAACCCAGGTCTCTGGCTCATAGTATTTTTTTCTCCATTTACTGTAGACTTGGTGTTTTCCCCAGTCCAGTGATTAATTGGATCAGGCTGCTTTGAAATCATATGAGAGATCAGTTTTAGGTTTATATTACGATTAGTTAGGCCACAGAGGTTCACTTCCTTGACATAGGGAGTCTACACCTTCATTCCCGTATTACACTGGGAACTGTATGAAAAGTTCATTTTCTGTACAGGAAGAATCACAGAACTTTGAAACTAGAAAGTATCTTAGAGATAAGCTAGTTTAACCTTACCATTTTTGAAAGAAACTGAAGTTCAGAGAGGTAGCCCTGGCCTGTTACTGTATACTAATTCTTTTTCTGGTGTACATACCCTCTTGGTGTTTGTGCATTGGTAGTGTATTTTCTCTGGTATTAGCAGAACTTGGGGTGATGATTAAACTGACTATTAAACATGGTAACTGTCAGAGTTAACATTTGGAAAAGAGGTGGGTGGTTTTCTTCTAGCTCATCTTACCTGAATTTGCCTCATTCTGCCTGTAAAGTTTTGTTCATTCAACTGTATGTCTTTATATTTTCTCTTAGATTCTTTAATTGGTCCTTAACATTAATGAATAACGAGGTCATATGAAAAATTGAGCAGTAAAACAGTTCTTGATTTAATTCAAAATTTGTGTATAACAACTCTTAACAGATGTATAGTAGATATTTGTATCCTAAATGAAGATGTGAGATAATTTGAAATTAAAATGATACAATCTGTTTACTTTGGGGACTGGGGTTTATTGCAGATCACTTGAAAGAACCATTCTTAGAAGCCATTCAGAATTGCCGACTGAGAACCATGCCAGCAAGCTTCCTTCCTTCTTCACCAGTCAACAAACGAGGTACCATCTTTTTGGACAGATTTTATAAAACTAAAAAAAACCCACTGCCATCAAGTTGATTCCTAGTCATAACAACCCTGTAGGACAGAGTAGAACTTCTCAACAGGCTTTCAAAAGCTGCAAATCTTTACAGAAGAGAACTCCCTTATTTTTCTCCTAAGGAGCAGCTGGAAGGTTTGAACCACTGACCTTTTGGTTAGCAGCTGAATGCTTTAACTGTGCCACCAGAGCTCCCTTGATTTTATAATGATGTCACTAAATGCTATATATTTGATTAAACTTTTACTGTGAGGAATAACATGGGACAGAGAATTGGGTGCTGGGGATTGGCACGTTACTACTGTTATTAGGTGCTGTTGAATCAGCTCTGATCCAGAGTGACCCATGTACAACAGAATGAACACTGGCCGGTCATGCACCATCCTCACAATCCTTGCTATACTTAAGCCCATCATTGTAGCCACTGTGACAATCCAGCTTGTTGAGGGTCTTCCCCTTTTTTGCTGACCCTCCACTTGACCAAGCATCACATTACGAGTACACTGAAAAGTTTTAACAAGGTACAGGTGTGATTAGATTTGTGTTTTAGAAATCTCACTCTAACATTGTTTCGGATGCTTTGGAGGACAGTGGGGAGGCCATTTCATTATTTCAGCTGAGCAGTGATAAAGGCCTGAAGTAGGGGTATGGCAGTAAAAATGAAAGGTCAGGAGTGGATCTGAACAGTATGTGGGATGAAGAATGCATCAAACTTGATCATGAGTTGGCCACCATAGTAAGGGACAGTGAGGCCTCTTGGTAGATTTCAGGTTCAGATGCATGGTGTTTGGCTAGTTTTGCCAGCCATTTGCTAATGTAGGAAATACAGGAAATGGTGTAAGTTTAGAGAAGGTTTGGGAGAGGTGATGAGTTCATGTTGGGACATAGTAAGATGTGTAGATGTGTAGAATACCATTTAATGTGTCTGGAACTCAGAAGAGAGCTTAGAATGGGAGCTATAGAAAAACTCTGGTTCCTGACTGTAAAGAGATTGTAGTCTGCTCTTGAAACACATACATGGTAAACTCTAAATTATTCACATGAACTATAATGCAGAGCAGAATGAAGCAAATGCCAACTCGATACAAACCAGCAAGTGGTGGGAACGTAATCTAACTGCTGGGATTGGGGTTGTGCCTTGGGGAAGGAAGAGAACAGTGGGACACCGTTTGTGGTTTTTTCATGAAGGCAGTAGATTAATAAAAAAAATCAACATCTAGAATCCACTGTTTTATATATTAATACACATTAGCTGTAATTACATACACTCTAATTATAAATCTGTATTATGACATTACAGGAAAAAATTACTCGTAATTTTACCATCTCAACACTATTATTATGGTTGTCTGTTTCTCTCACAGATAAAGAAGAGTTTTGTGTAGAAGTCACTAAGTCACAGATCATTAAGAGGGAAGTAGAGGGTTGGGGATCTCGGAGTCAGACAGCCCACTCAGGAGATGGGCCTGGAGCCAAATTGTGCTTTCTGCTTCTGCAGTTTTGATTCAGTGGGACTAATTTTTCAGATAAGGTTTGGTCAAGGTTTATTCTCCTAAATTAATCCCTCATTTCACTTCTCCATGAGCTACAGCATAGCTGGGTGTAATTTTCCCAGAGTCCTTTTCTTTCCCTTCAGACATTTCTATAGTATGCTGACAGTGAACATTGCTGTGAAATGCCAAGACACCTTGTAGGTGGTTTTCCTTGTAGAAGTCTTGCTTTTTATCCCTAATGCCTGGAGAGTCTTTTTTTTTTTGCCTATTATTATTTTTGAAAGAGACCTTATAAATATGTTGACATAGCTTAACATTAGATCCACATGTGAGTTTCACGAGACCAGGGGCCATTCTCTTGTTCTTACTGCATCCTCACTACCTGGCACATAGTCCCAAAAACCCAAACTCACTGCCGTCGAGTTGGGTCTGACTCATAGCATCCCCTCCTTGGGTTTCTGAGGCAGTATCCCTACGGAAGTAGATTGCCCAATCTTCCTTCCAAAGAGTGGCTGGAGGGTTTGATCCACCAGCCTTCTGATTAGCAGTCAAGTGCCTTAGGCAGTATGCTACCAGAGCTCCTTACGCCACCTTAAGTACCCAATAAATATTTGTTGATTGACTCAACTCTTAAATTTTTGGTTCCTCAAATTTTAGTCATAATTTTTTCCCTTGTATTTCCACATTCTTTTTATCCTAGCTCACATCAATGATTTTTATAAACAGAGTAGTCATCTTTTTTTCTTTTTCCTCAAGGGATGCTTCAGGTTGTCATAGTTTTAATTCTCTCTTCATAGGTGTTCTTCTTTTGGGAGATGCACATAATATGAGGCATCCTCTTACTGGTGGAGGAATGACTGTTGTTTTTAAAGATATAAAACTATGGAGTAAACTGCTAAAGGGTATCCCTGACCTTTATGATGATGCAGCCGTTCTCCAGGTAAGATATTAAATTTCACTTTGATAAAAATGTCTCAGGTACTTCCAGTAAGATGGAGGAATAGGCAGATAAGCGACACAGACCGTCTTCAACAAAGAAAAGAAAAACCAACAGACAGAGATACAGAAGATAATCCTGGAGCCCTGAGCTTTGAAAAGAACTATACAGAAGTGGATCAGGCACCAACTAGTGGAAAAACCTGAACGAAAACAGTGAGTGCAGAGATAGTCAGCTGCGGACTGTCAGCTACTCTGACAGGATCAATAGCCTGAATACTTTCAACTGGCCTTGGGACCTGAGAATTGACCTAAAGATCAGCCCTGGTCACCAAGGGCTGCAGGGATGACTGCTCTGGTGGCCTATGACTAGGAAGGAAAACAACAGGGAAGGAGACAACCTGAGCTGTTGACTTTCTACTGTCCAGAGGGTGCAGCCATTTTGGATATTTAAAGTGACCGAGGGTGCAGCCATTTTGAATGTTTTCAAGTGGTGGCCATTGGATATTTAAAGTGACCGAGGGCACAGCCAGTTGGAATTTTTACAAGTGGCAACCATTTTGGATTTTAAAGTGATAGCATTCTCATTCGGATTCCAGGGACCTAAGAATAGGCTCTGTTTGCCAAAGTTGCTAGGGACATAAGAGAGGCTGACAACAGGAAAGGAGACAGGTGGTGAGTGTATAAGTGCTGTCAACTAGTGAATAGAGGAGCACACCACAGTACCCTGTTTGCATAGATAACATACAAGCAGAACAAAATTAAAATCATTGGCAAGTCACTCCAACATACAATCACCAATTAAATATAAACACAAAAAACATCACAATGCCTCAGAGACAACAGAGCATCACAGTCCACACAAAGAAGCAAGATAAGGGAGGAGAAACAAGGGATCAGACTACAGACCTAAAACATAATCCCTGAGGAAGATGCAGCATTGGAACTCCCTGAGAAGGAATTTAAAAGAATTATAGTTAGGTATCTTTGACGACTTGAGAGGGAGATCAAGGGAAACACAGAGAAAACCCTAGAACAATTTAGAAAGACAATACAAGAACAAAATCACAAAATAAATGAAAAATTAGAAATGATACAAAATCTACACATACAAATCCAGAAGATTAATACTAAATTTTCAGAAATAGGTAAGACATTGAATGGGCAAAGGAGCAGAATTGAATCAATGGAAGACAGTATTAAGGATACTGAAGGCAAATACCTAAACACTTTTTTGGAAAGGGATAAATCAGAAAGAAAATCAAAACAAAGTGAAGAAAGCCTGGAATAACCTGTGTGTAATTGGAATTCTAGAACAGGAAGAAACAAAACCACAGACAAAACTGTCAAAGATTTATTGGAAGAGAATTTTCCTGGCATGATGAAAGATGAGAATATATCCATTCAGGAAGTCCAATGAACCCCAAACAGGATAGACCCCCCAAAAATCACCCAAACATATCATCATCAAACTCACCAAAACCAAAGGCAAAGAAAGAATCATGAGAGCAGTATGGGAAAAAAGAAAAGTTACCTACAAGGGGCAACCAATAAGACTAAGCTTGGATTTCTCAACAGAAACCATGCAGGCGAGAAGACAATGGGATGGTATATATAAAACACAGAAAGAGAAAAATTTCCAACTAAGAATTATGTACCCAGCAAAATTGTCTCTCAAATATGATGGTGAAATTAGGACATTTCCAGATAAGCAGAAATTAAGGGAATTTTTTAAAGCCAGACCAACTTTACAAGAGATGCTAAAGAGAGTCCTTTGGACAGAGAAGCAGCAACAGCCAGCAACAACTGACCATTAACACACATGATGATATAACCCAGAAACAAGCCAGCTATGGAAGTATCCAAAGTAAATACGCCTACACGATTGGAAACGGAATCAGAGACATCAATTGACAAATGAGGACAACTACAAACCAAAAAGAGGGAAAAAACTCATTACAGAACTTCTAGATGGTAGGGAAGTCAAGACAACTACAAGATAGAATGGACTGTTCTAAACTTGGAAAGAAAATTATAAATCACAGGGTAACCACAAAGAAAAATGATAAATTTTCACATCAAAATAAAAAAGAAGACCAGCATAAAATTCAGCAAATACTAAAACAATAGCAATAAAGGAAGTGATAACATGATTCATAAACAAAATGAGCTCAGCATAGAAAATCAAATGTAACAAAGAAATCCTTACCATGAAAAAGTACGTAACAAAAACGACAGCAACAAATTCATATTTGCTAATAATTACATATTTGGTGAGGGACTTATCTCTAAGATTTATAGAAAACTCCAGTGCCTCAGCACCAAAGGAATTAACAATCCAATTGAAAAATGGGCATAAGATATGAATAGACAATTCACCAAGGAGGATATTCAGGTGGCCAGCTAATAATATATGAAGACATGCTCACAATCATTGGGCATCAGAGAGCTGTAAATGAAAAACCACAGTGAGATACCGTCTGACCCCAGCACTGATGCCATGGTTCAACGAGACAGAAAATAACAAAGGCTGGTGGAGATGTGGAAAGTTTGGGACTCTCATACACTGCTGGTGGGACTATGAAGTGATACAACCACTGTGGAAAGCAATATGGCGATTCCTTAGAAAGCTGGAATTGGAGATACCATTTGACCCAGCAGTCCCATTACTAGGTATATATCCTGGAGAGGTGAGAGCCAGGTTAGGAACAGATATATGCATATTCATGTTCATTGCAGCACTATTTACAATAGCAGAAAGATGGAAACAACCTACGTGCCCATCAGTGGAAGAGTGGATGACCAAACTATGGTACATACACATAATGGAATGCTGTGCAGCACTAAAGAATAATGTAGAGTCTGCAAAACACTGCATAATATAGATGAACTTGGAGGACATGATGCTGAGTGAAGTAAGTGAATCACAGAAGGACAAATATACTATTAGTTGTTGTGGAGGGTTAAGGAAAGGTTTATGTATGGAGGGAAACTTTCTTTGTTGGTTGCCAGGGGTGGGAGGGGAGGGAACACTGCATAAAAAAAAAAACAAACAACATTGACCCATGTCACTTTAGGTTGGTATATTTCACTGTACATAAATTATATTTCAATAGAATGCATTAAAAAAAAAAAAGATTTACCACCTCAGAAACCCAAGATTGCTGTGAAGCGAATCGACTGGAGGGCAATGAGTTTTAGTTTCGGTAGTCAATTCCAACTCATAGCACCCCTAGAGGACAGAGTGGAACTGGCCCCACAGGGTTTCCAAGTCTGTCAGTGTTTACTGAAGCAAAGCCCAAACCAAACTCACTGCCGTGGAGTTGATTCTGACTCACAGCACCCCTAGAGGACAGAGTGGAACTGCACCATAGGGTTTTTCAAGACCTCATCTTTCTCCCGAAGAGTGACTGGTGGGTTTTAACGGCCAAACTTTTGGTTGGCAGCTGAGTGCTTTAACCACTATACCACCAGTGCTCATATATGCAGAGACAGACAGGAAGGGAGAGAGGGAGGATTTGTAGGAACAACAACAAAAAAGTGTCTCAAAACTATTTCTTTGTGAGGTTGAAAGATGGGATTGAGATCTAAGCTTGATGCTTAGTAATGGTTCTTATGGGGTCCTGTTTGGGCTTAAAGAAACTGACCTTCAACTTTTGAATCTTCATGATGCTAAATTTCTCTGTCACAATGTTGTGAAACACTGTATTTCCTGTACCACTTTGCTTGTTCTAAATGTAGCTTCACATAACCTGTTGCTCTGGAGATGACAGGGTTTTGTGAATGATGAACACACACACTTTCTGCATTTTTTGTAGAAAAGCCTCAGGATAAGGATCCATTTGAGGGATTATAAACATCAGTTTGTGCTTGTGTTTTTTTCCTTACCATATCATATGTGATCTTTTTCCTTTTTTAGGCCAAGAAATCATTCTACTGGACAAGAAAAAAGTCTCATTCCTTTGTTGTGAATGTCCTTGCACAGGCTCTTTATGAATTATTTTCTGCCACAGATGGTAAGTATAGATATTCCTAATGACCACTACTGAATTTTAGGTTTATAGCATAGGAAGGGAACTTTTAATTACAAAAAAGCTTGTGATTAGGCCAGAGATACAGTACCTGAGTTTGCAGACTCCCAAGGTAGACGTTTTTAACTTCATCTTTAGGCAAGACTTTTAGCTTATAATCGTCACTTATCTACCACTTTGTCTGGGAATTTTGTTGCGTTTCCTTAGATAACATTAATAGTAATACTTAAGTAACAAAATTAGTTTTAATTCCTCTGGCCTAGCCAGATGACGCATTTTCCCAAATGCACAAGATTGTGATGGAGGATCTTCTGGTCATGTATTAAGAGGCAACACCAATTGCTAGTCAGTCTTCTCTGAACACGACTTTCAATCTCTTTTCAAAGTAGTATTTCATAAAATGAATGAACTTCATATCAAATTTAGTTTTTTCCCTATGAAAGTGTACAAGTAGCAGAATGCATCCACCCATTACTCATTAGAAATATTTCTAAGTTTTTTGTTTCCATATCGTGGAGAGGTGAAGTTTACACTAAGGCAAACGTGGCTTAGAAGCAGAGTTAGCAGTGGTGTCAAAAGGAACCCACACCAGTGTGCCAGTCAGCTGGTTAATGAAACAGACACTTCATTTTTCAGGTTATCTCTGCTTATAAAACACGATGCACTACAAAAGATTTCTGTAGCCACCACTCTTGCTGAAAGAAAAAGACATCTCACTGATAGTGATTTATGAAACAAATCTCATAATTGGCATGGAAGTTAAATGGCTGGTTGGGCAAGTGAAAAGGAGAACCAAGCTCTCAATTCAGGAGTTCTTACAGAATTTTAATCTGCCAACAGAACATTAAAAAAATTATGGAAGAAAGAGCTTTAGGAGAGTAAATGTTTGTCTACTAATCCTTTTTTTATCTGTTGTGAAGACAAATCTGGGCATGCCTAAAAAGAACATTGATTCTAAACTATTAATAAGGTCATTGATCTATTACACTGTGTTGTGAGGATTTCATAAGTTACTCTGGAAGCATAGTGCCTAAGACATTTGACTGCTAACCGGAAGGCTGGCAGTTCAAACCCACCAGTCACTCCTCAGAAGGAAGTTTGGGCAACCTACTTCTGTAGTGATACTGCCTGGGAAACCCAAGGAGGGGTTGCTATGAGTTGGATCCAACTCCACGGCAGTGTGTTATGTTTGTTGTGTATGGAGACATAGGTATTATTCATTACTATTCACAGCCAGTCTTTTTATTTGATAATTTACTGCTCAATTGGAGATGTGGGTTGGGCATTTTAAGAGTGGGAATGTTACTAGAATTGTTTTTATGGAACAAAAAGTTTACAAGTATTTTCTGCCATATGATGAATTCACAACATAATTAGGGAACTATTTTTTAAACCAAACTTCTGAGGCCTAAATGTTTAGTATATTAACAGAAAAGAGTTTATTCATACTTATATTGCTTTCCATAATGTTTGATGATAGAATTTAAAAGAAATCCTGGGTTGTTGAAATTTCAGGACTGAACTTTGTCTTTTAAATTATGTGTAAGATCTGCTATTTGTTCTGTCTTCAACACGTCATCAGTGCCCTAACATAAATGTGTGAATATTGGTTGACAGTAATTTTTCTATTTTATTTTAGACTCCCTGCATCAGCTAAGAAAAGCCTGTTTTCTTTATTTCAAACTTGGTGGAGAATGCGTTGCGGGTCCTGTGGGGCTGCTGTCTGTGTAAGTGGGGCGCAGTGGGTGGAGCATTGCAGATTTTCTTAGGACAGTCCAGTGTGCAGTTCACTGCACAGCTCTCTTCCTTACACATCTTGTTATCTTTTTATTCATTAGCATCTCATTCACAAGGTAGCCCAGAGAAGGGATAAAGGCACCATTTAGTTCTGTGCTTTACCTCGGGGAAAGAGCATTGAAGAAATGGTGGTAGAAGAGGCTGCTTGCCTGTGAACTGATTTATGCCCGTGATCTGAGCTGTGGGAGCCGTGGAGAACCAAGAACTTCATATTTAAATATTAATTTGATATAAGTACAGGGGCTTATGAAACTCTGTGATAGTTTTGATGGTGCAGACATGTGGTACTATTTCTCAAACAGTCTGCAAGGTGGAATTCTTTTCTTTGTTTCATTTATAGCCTGAATGTGAGGATTGTTGAAAAACCTAGACTCTGTAGGCCTGGCCATCAGGTGTTTCTGACTAGGATCTCAAAATTAGTGAAAGAAACCGGCTCAAAGCTGAAAGGAGAGACACATTTTAAGTAGTTTTTGTTGAAAAAGAAATTATTTGTCCCTGCTGTGAAACTTAGTAGGCAGACACAAGACTGTAAACTCCCCCAAAATGTAGAATGTGTGTTAGATTTATAGATGATGCTTAATGGGTAACTCTGATATTAAAACCCAGAAACCAAACCATTTATCGTCGAGTTGATTGTGATCATGGTGACAATTTATGTCAGAGTACGGCCGCACTCTGTGGCGTTTCCAGTGGCTGTTTTTTCAAAGGCAGATTACCAGGCCTGCCTTCTGAGGCACTTCTGGGCAAATGTGACCCTCCAGGCTTTTGGTTTGCAGTGAGCAGGTTACTCATGCACATCACGCAGGCACTCCCACCTTTTATATTAGAGGATTCAGAACTGCTATCGTTTTTATGAGCAGATATTAATGACTGGGTCTCACCATTTTTTTTTTTTTTTTAACAGATTGTCTCCTAACCCTCTAATTTTAATCGGACACTTCTTTGCTGTTGCAATCTATGCCATGTATTTTTGCTTTAAATCGGAACCTTGGATTTCAAAACCCCGAGCCTTTGTCAGTAGTGGTGCTGTTTTATACAAAGCATGTTCTGTATTATTTCCTCTTATTTACTCAGAAATTAAGTACTTGGTTAATTAAGCTTAAAGGAGAGCCATTTGTGAATGAATATTTGGAACTCCCCGAGTCCCAAGAGACTTTTGCAAGTGAATGTATATAGCATATACTATAGTACTTTTCAAATGTAAATTCTTGGACCAAAATTAGGATTAATTTGTTTTGGAAGTTATCTGTGTATAAACATGTAAATAAATCCTTTAATTTGCAATTTAAAATGAAGGGTGAAGTAAGTGAGAGATGTAAAAGAAATGATTGTGAAATTAAGCTAATACTAAGGAACTGAATTCACCATCTGGTCTGCATCATTGTGGGACATGCAAATAAAGTGAAGAGTGAACTGTCCTGTGCTTTGTTTCTTTTTGTGGATTTCTGTTCATAGCTTCTTGATGATGATAAAACCCAGAATATCTTTCTTGCTCTTATCCAATTTGTTGATGTCGAAATGGCCACTGTAGGATGGCAGCTCCCTTTTCAGAATAATTTTTATGCAGAAGTGATTTAGCGCTTATGGCTAAGCTGGTACCAGAAAGAAAAAGAAAGCAGCAGCTGTGTTTTAGCCATGTAGTTGTGGGGAGCTAGGGCAGGGCTCAGGGGTACACCCTGGCTGCTGGGGAAGGAAGAGGCTGGGAGGAGCTGCTGTAGTTAGGGAGTCCCACACAAGGGATGCTGGGGCTCCCCAAGGGTAACTGGGATTGGAAGATGATGATGAGCCTCAGATAGGAAATGTGTCTGGGTTGTGGGTCACGAGGGGGTGGCCACTCCATGTGCCTATTAGTTTGGCTATCCGGCCCACTGCACTACCAGATTCTCACCTTCCAGACAAGGCTTTTCCATGGTGAATGTACAGCTTTTGAAACAAGCAGAAAGCAGCAGCACAACTTTGGGTACAAGCATTATTATTTTGCTAAAAATGTGGGAATTACACAAATAGTCCTTTTGAACATAAAACTAAATGGATTTATACATAACAATTACATTCAGCATTTATAAGAGGCAGTACAAAAATGTATTCTGCATCCACATGATACAAATTGCATAAACTACCATGATTTAAATCATATTAATTAACTAGTGCTGTGAGATACATCTTACTCAGAATGTCTGATGTTTCCCACAATAAAGGGGAAAAATGCAGTTCTGTGAGCACTTGAGTTTCTTTTCATTTGCAGATTTGGCGTAGGTGGAAAGATTTAAGAACAATCCTTTCATTGAAGAAGTCGGAAAAAAATGTTATAGGACTGTTCTGAACTCATCAAAAATGAAATTGGGCACATGTGCTTCAGCAACCTATGAAATTAAACAGGAAGAGGTGAGTTGTTCACAGTATTAGGATTCAGAAGAAATGAAAAATTTCCCTAAATTTCTCCTATTTATGGGGCCTCAAAATTAAAAGAACTCTGGAGTAAGGTGATCACTATTTTTTTCAAAAGTACTTACTGTGATGGAGAAGGGAGCAGCATTTTAGAGAATGAGCTATGGGGCTTCCCTCCTCCTGAGTCTAGGGCCACTATTACCATTTTTACCAAAGGGCTATTAATACTGTTCTTTTCCTGTCTATCACTTACCCTTCTGGGCAGCTTTGTGTACCGAACATAATCCTCCAGGAACAGAAGGGCACCCACAACATCTGCAGGCATTTCAGGAATTTTCTGGCTGTAAAAGACAGTCTAGGTCAGTTAACTGCTTTGTGCATCATATACCCTCAGTCAGCATATGGAAGGACATAGTAACAAAAACCTCCAAAAACCCATGGCCATCAAGTCGATTCAGACTTAAAGTGACCCTATAAGACACAGGACAGTAGAACTGCCCCATAGTGCTTCATCTTTCTCCCATAGAGTGGCTGGGGGGTTTGACAGCTGAGAGCTTTAACCAATTCACTACCAGGGCTTCTTAAACAATAGATTAGCAAATGCAATCAAGGAAGATAAACAATAGATTAGCAAATGAAATCAAGGAAGAAACATTTATGGAACAGTCTCGATTCAGATCAAGTCATGCTGGTTACACATCTGTAGGAACTTAACCTATAGGTGGTGGTGGTTGTTATGTGCCGTCGAGTCGGACCCGACTCATGGTAAAACCTCAATGTCTCTGGTTTATGTGACTTCCCAGTATGGCCCCTGCTTTGTGTCTAGATTCATCTTCCTCAGCTGTCAGGTTCTTGAGGAAGCCATATTCTAACCCTTCGTAGCTTTATTTTCTGTGCGTGCTTATTTGAAAACAAACTCCCAAATAGCTTTCAAGTGCTAGCTTGGGCACTTCCTCTGGAAAGTCCTCCCTGGGAAGATGTTCTTTTTTTTTTTATGATTTCAATAGCAGACTCGTAGAGACCCTATAGGACAGAGTAGAACTGCCCCATAGGGTTTCCAAGGCTGTAATCTTTATGGAACCAGATTGCCACGTTCTCCCATGCAGTGGCTGGTGGGTTTGAACTGCTGACCCTTTGGTTAGTAGCTGAGTGCTTTAACCACTACACTACCCTTCAGGGAACAAAGACTTACTATTTTAGAATGGGAAAAGGAGTTAATAGATGGACATCGGACACACTGGGGGACACACATAGGGTCAGACTGCCTTCAAGAGCAGGTTTTTCCCTTTCAATCCATAAACTAGAGCAAAGGGAGCTCAGGTGAGAGAAGTCTCAACAATGAAATCCTAATGATCACAAACGAGGCTAGTTGGAAAGGACAGTGGGAGGCACCTAAAAACCTAACGCATAGTGCAGGCCCACAGAGGGGTGGGGCCAAGGAAGCCACAGAGCTAAGGAGAAACCAAGACCAGTGTCAGTGAAGCTCATGCTGTGATTAGCTTAGGCTGCCCAACAACTGAGAAAAACAGGAGCCTGTGCTCAGTTCGCTTGTTTTTAAAGCAAAAACAGGCGGCATAGGCTTCGGTCTCATGCTGCTTCCTCTCTGCTTGTCAATTAGGAAGATGAATCTGTAAACTACAAAGGCTAGGGTGAACATAACGGCCTATATAGTTCGGTATTTTAACAGTCTGAAGATGTGCTGAACTCCTATCTACATTAATGATACAGCTGGGGGGATAGCTAATATTGATGATACAAACAATTCATGCAGCTTTCACATTACAAAATAAATAAAATCAACTTTTTTCCTACCTTTTCCTCAAGTTGGTATCTTTTCATCTTTTCATTATCTAAGTAACATATTAAAAGTGCTTCTATAGTGAAGAACACCAAAGACACGTGGAAATAATTAGCCCAAGGGATGAGTGGACCATGTGAACTTCAGCCTACATGACCAGGAGACCAGAACTAGATGGTGTTCGGCTACCACTGTCAACTACATGGAAAGGGATCAAAATAGGAGACCCTGGATAGAGTGGGAGAAAAATGTAGAACAAAACTCAAAATCATGAAACTATGGCCCTGAGTCACCCTTGGGCTTGGAACTGAACTCCCATGGCTTGTCGCCAAACCACAGACAGGTATGTAAGGCGAACATTTCAACCAGGTAGGCACACTCCTTAGAACAATCAAGCAGGAGCTCAGAAGGGCAGTATTTGCACAGGGAGACAGCTCAAAGGGCAGGAATGCACAGGAAAGGAGGACCCAAGGAAAAGGGTAACCACAGGAAGTGGGAAGAGAGTTGTTAACATTACGGGGATGGCCATCAATGTCATGAAGCAAAATGTATATGGACAGTTGTACGGAAAATGATTTTGCTCTGTTAACTTTCACCCAAATCACAATTGGAAAAAAAAATTAATAAATAAAACAAAAGTGTGTCTATGAAGTGAGAAAAGAAAAGTGATCGTTTTGGCTGTGTCATAACACTTGTGGCATTTAGGGGATGCCCCTCCAGTCTTTTATCCAAAGCCTTTTTAAAACTTAGCTGTAATGACAATTTAAATCAAAGTCTTTTTTTTTTTCAAAAGCTAACACTATCCCAGTGATGGTACACTTGTCATATATAACACATTAAAATATAATATAGTCTTATACTTTTAGCTCAGAAAAAAATAAATCAATCAAACACATACAGGGAAGAACAGGTCTGATTACAGGTCATGGGAAAAAAGATCTTGGTGTTCAGAAGATGGCAAAATCAGTATGGGCAGTGGTGTGCAGTGGAGGGCAGGAACCTACTATCGCCATTTCAGCTGTACTTACGTATATATGGGGCCTAGAGTGCAGGGGCTATGTGATAATCCCTCCACTCCGAGGGGAACGCTATAGTGGAATCTCTATACAGGTCTGGAAGCCACATTTTAAGATGGCCAGTAACAAACTGGAACTCCCAGAAAGGCACTGATAGAGTGAGCAACTGGCAGACCTCAGCACATGCGGGACAGATGGGAGGGGCTTACCTAACAGGACGGTCGACTGACTCACAGAGACCCCTCCTTGGGTTTCCGAGGCAGTATCACTATGGAAGTAGATTGCCCAACCTTCCTTCTGAGGAGTGGCTGTTGGGTTTGAACCGCCAGCCTTCTGGTTAGCAGTCAAGTGCCTTAGGCACTACGCTACCAGAGCTCCTAAGGTAATAGCAGACATCAAAAATCTGAAGTGATGTGAGGACTGCATTTATTCTAATTTCAAAGGGCAGAAAAAGGCCCAGTGAGTGATATTTTCAGGTATGGATTTCCGTTCACATGAGAAACTTTCTATGAGAATGACTCCAAGTGTACCGTGCTGACTGGCGAGGTCAAGGGTGCCTCAGTAATGATGGGAGTGACCCAGCAGAGAGCAGGTGATTCCCTGGCAGGGACTCCCTGGGCTGATTCGTGCACCTGGTGGGAAGCCCCTGAATGGCCTGAAGTCACTCCCAGTTTCAGAACTCAGTGTTGCTTTGTGAGCACCTGGAAGTGCATCCTCACTAATCAGTCTCTAAGTTACACTGGCAGAAATAACAAGATGATCATCTCCCAAATTATGAATGTGCACTGTGATGAGGAAATTTATCTGGCCAGGCCTACCCCTCAGGGAAGCAGAGGAAGTGACTAAGGATTAGCATCGCATACAAATAACTCATTTTTCTAGCTCAGAAATTTCACATTTGGAATTCTCTGAAGGAGTAAAAAAGGAATTAGCAGGAATTAAAGGTTCACGAGCTTGGTATAGATCTGTGCTACTTGTTTCATGACATAGCCAGCATGCACACTACCCAGGGATCACACTGACATGTTCTCAAACTTCCTCTGAAGCATGTGGGACCATTTCTAGGCAATGACCCAGCCAGAGAGCATGAGGTCACTAAGGGCTGAGAACTGGGTGGGAAAAGCGGAGGTACAGGACACTGCACATTCTTCCCACTGGTGGTTACTAATCCTGGGCACAACTACAGATCCCCATTCGGAAAATTGCTGCAAGTACACCTGGGGCAGTGTCCCCGGCAGAGTGACTGAGGAGGCCACGGTACACCCGGTGGAGTGTCCCTGGCAGAGTGACTCGGGATGGCCCCGGTACACCCGGCGGAGTGTCCCCGGCAGAGTGACTGAGGAGGCCCCGGTACACCCGGTGGAGTGTCCCCGGCAGAGTGACTGAGGAGGCCCCGGTACACCCGGTGGAGTGTCTCCGGCAGAGTGACTGAGGAGGCCACGGTACACCTGGGGGAGTGTCCCCGGCAGAGTGACTGAGGATGGCCATGATATACCTGGGGCCGGGTCCCTGGCAGAGTGACTCAGGATGGCCACACCTTTAATTACTTCGGACAAGGTGTGCCCTGACTTGTTTTACAGAGAAGAGTAACCAGCCACTTCCCATCTCTACTAGGGAGCTAAGAAGAATCTGGCCTGCAAGGCTGAAATCGTATTTTGCAACATTAAGTTGCATTTGTTCTGGGTTAACCTTTTGTAAAGGAGCTCTGCTGATGCAGTGGTTAAGGCGCTCAGCTGCTAACAAAAAGGCTGGTGGTTTACACCCATCAACCCACTCCATGGGAGAAAGATGAAGGCAGTCTGGACCTGTAAAGATGTACAGCCTTGGGAACCCTGTGGGACAGTTCTACTATCCCACAGGGGCACCCTGGCAGTGGGTTTGGTTTTGGATTTTTGGCCTTTTGTACCTTGTACACTGCTCCACTGTGGAGCGGATAAACTGGCCGATCAGTGCCAGGAACTGTTCGGTGTACCGGGAGTGAAACTGCTTCAGCAGAGTAAGTAGTCCCAGGACAAGCGGAGGCCAGTCAACGGGGTCCGCAGGCTTCCGGCAGACCATTCCTATGAGGGGAGACAAGTCAACACCAAGTGAAATGCTTGCCTTTGACAACATTCATTCAACATTAATTCTCGTGGTATCATCACTAGCAGATGACTGGAGGAGACGACTACTCTGACTACGTTCTGAATTAGCCACGGGGCTGGTGGAGCCTTCCAGTGGTTTGAAGGATTAAAAATAATAAATTGATTAACTCATGTTTGTAATCATAATTAGGTGTTGTTTTTTTTTTTAATTATACAATTACAGATGCTACTGTAGAAAACATTGAAAATCTACACAAATGTCAGTGAAAAAATAAAGATCATGTATTGCTGACTTCTGCTAACAGCAGCATGGCAGATTTGATACTTTCAATGGCTCTCAGAAACGAAAACAACTAAAATGCTGGATAAAATATAAGAAAGGTTATCTTCAAACACAGGGCTGAGCACTGTTTAAGAGAAGAATCTTCACAAGTCAAGACAACGAGTGAAGGAATTTGTGAAGAAAGTGAGCACTGAAGCCAGCCTTTCACAAAGGCTCTGTGCCACAATGTGGAGGTGTGGGGCTTCTGCCTGGATGGCTGCACGGGGCACAGGAGACCGAGCTCAGGGGCCTTAGGGAAAAGGAACAAGACAGTCCCTCGTAAAAGAGGGACTACAAAGGTCTGTAACCTCAGTAACAGTGTAAACAGGAAATAAATCTCACAAGGAAACAGCAAGGAAACACGGCTGCCCTGACCCTGGTGCTGGGTCGAAGGAAAACATGCAGAGATTTCTTAAGAAACAGAAAGCACTAATATGAAAACATAAAGATAAAGTGGACATTATCAGCATTAAAAACTTCTACTTACTAAAGTCACAAGTAATACAGTGAACTGGCAACTCACAGTCTTTGAGAGAATATTCACAATACAGATGTCTGGGACAGGACTTGCATCCAGAATATATAAAGAACTCCAACATGGTGACAAAAGGCAAACAGGCCAATTTAAAAACAGGCAAAAAGAGATATTTCACCAAGGAAGACATAAAGGATGGCCAATAAGCACAGGATATAGTGCTCAACATCATTAGTCATCAGGGAAAGGCAAATTAAAATTCAATGAGATATCCCTATACCACTGCACACTCTCAGGATGGCTAAAATGAAAAAGACTAACATGAGCAAATGCTGGTTAGGAAGTGGAGCAACTGGAACTCTCATACAGTGCTGGTAGGAGTGTGAAGTAGTGCAGTCACTCTGGGAAAAAAGAGTAGCCATTTTTACAAAGTTAAACTGGCCACGCAGGCTACCAGATCCCATTGTTGGGTACGTGTGGACACTTGGTTGATATTTAGTGTAAACTTGCTGTCTACATTTCATGAAAGGACATCATATTGCAGAGGCACAAAGACATTTATTAACACAGATTGAACTAAAAATGATCTCATTTCTGACACAGCATTCTATATAAAGATCTGTTTGGTTAGATATTAATCTATTGTTACTGTAACTTACTGCAAAGAACTAAATATCATACAGTACCGAGGTTTTTGTTGTACTGAAGTTTTGGCAACTGGGCGATCAAAAAGAGAAAGTTGACAATTGGGAAATAAGGTAAGCGCTTTGTTGTTATGTATATCTGGGAAGACAAAAGTCAGAAAAACAGATACTTTCTTCAAACTGCACAATACCACAGAACACATTTTCAAGAGTAAAGTTTCAATTTTATTTCTGTTTGCTCTCCAGACAGGCTACCTAAAACTATGATGTTTCCATTAACTTGGAAGAACATTTGCCTTCAGATTTTCATTGAACACCACTGACCCCCAAACAGAAATACTTACAAAACAGTGAGCTCTTCTGGGAAAGGAATACATTTTTGGAATCTTAAAACCCAAAACCCAAACTCACTGCCATAGAGTCGGACATGACTCATAACGACCCCTCCTTAGGTTTCTGAGGCTGTTATCTCTACAGAGGTAGATTACCCAACCTTCCTTCCAAGGAGTGGCTGGTGGGTTTGAACCGCCAGCCTTCTGGCTGGCAGCCAAATGCCTTAGGCACTACTCCACCAGAGATTCCAAGAAAACAAACCCACCCACTGCTGTTGAGTTGATACTGACTCATAGTGACGTTATAGGATAGAATAGAACTGGCCCATAGAGTCTCCAAAGCTGTAATCTTTATGGAAGCATAGGTCTTTTATTTCATGGACCTGCCAACTGAGTGCTTTAACCATTGTGCCACAATGGCTCCATAAGTCCCCTTAACATTATTAATAAAGGGGAGAGAGAAGAAAAAGGGTGATGGGCAATAATAAAAAGAAAGCAAAATAAAGTGCATTCAAGGCAAAGCATGATTGCGGGACAGAAGGAAGAGCAAGAGAGAGACAAGAAAAGATGAAGCAGCAGGGAGGAGTGGGACATAAGCAGAAAATAAGCAGATGTCTCAGGGGGCTTTGCTTTCCCTTGGGCAATGCCACGGAACAGTCTCCCTCCCTGTCAATATGCACATGGCAGAAAAGACAGGCACGCCCAGCCATTTCCACCCTCCCAGCTGGAGCTTGATTCCATGGGAGGTGGGCTGCACAATGATTAGAACACAGACTGCCTGGCCTCATCACTTCCCAGTGTGGAACTCAGGCAAGTTACGAAGCTCTCTGAGCCTCCAGTCCCTCATCTTTCACAAGGTTGTTGTGAGACTGAGCTAATCCATGCTTAGGGTTTAACACAGTGTGTGGCAGGTCGTGAGACCTGAAAAAACACTAGCTGCTATTTATAATCTCTTATCTAAAACCCATGGGATCATACAGATTTCATAATCTGGAATTGTATAGATTGTAGAAAGGTATTATGGTGCCTACGGTAACACCCTATAAAGCCATCCATATGTCTATACCAAAGAATATGAATATTCACATTACAGTGGATACACAGAGTATAAATAGCCTTCTATCAGTTTAGGTTTCACCAGCAAAGGAGATCTGGCACCAACTTATGAAAAAACATTCAGTTCTCAGAGGCTTTTGGAGATTAGATTGCGGAAAAGAATTTGTAGCCCCATGTTATGACTGTAAATAGTGTTAGCCACGGAGGGAAGCATTTGTGTGCAAGAATCACTACTACCAGTTAGCTGAAGTTCAAATATCAAACCTGAGACAAACCTGAACTAATCCCTTACGTTGCTACAACCCCTTTCACTTTTTAATAAGCTTCTGTGAACATTCTATCACTTGGTTTACCCCACAATCCTGAGTCAGGGAGACAGGTGTGATCATTCTGATATGAATATGGGGACCAAGAGCTCAGAGAGGGTGGGGAACTGATAGAATGGAGGCTTTGGGATCTGATTCCAGGACCTCCCAGTATTTTAGGTCAGTTACCTGGGCCGAAGTGCCTTTTGGTCCATAGTCTCCTACCATTACATGTTAATCACTAACCTTATTCAGTGGGTTATGAATACCAGCAGCCTCCAGATAGGCTGTAATTTCATATAAAAGCGTGTTATCTTCTTTGGGATAAGGAAGTGAAGGGTCCTGATAGTGTGCTTCAATATCTGCTAGGAGAGCCCTAAATGAAGGAAAAAACCCCCAACAGTAATGAACGTTAGAGATTACTTGAATTTATACAAGTTCACACAAGCCAGTGAAGCTATCTTTTAAGGCTTCAGTTTTCTTACCAGTAAAATGAGTTGTTCTAACTCTCCATTTCCATGCCTGTGATTGGTTATAAGTGGAAAACCTGACCTAGAATTCCTTTACCTTTGGCCATCAAGTCGATTCCAACTCACAGTGAACTTATAGGACAGAGCAGAACTGCCCCATAGGGTTTCACAGTCTACAGAAGCAGACTGCCCCATCTTTCTCCCACCAAGTGGCTGGTGGGTTTGAACCATTTGGCTAGCAGCTGAGCACTTAACCACTGTGTCATCAGGATTCCTTGTCTAAACTTTTTTGAACTGACTGATCTGTTTTCAGTATCTAGTTTGTCAAAAGCACCTCCTTTGTGACCATGAACCAGGGATTGTTTATCATTGAGTATAAGGCTCAAAATGCAAGCAAGGTGGTGGTGAGGTGCAGGACATGTGTGCCCACCCCCGTCCTGGTGATTAACCCACCTTCTGGGTAATCAGTGCCTCCGTCCAGTAGAAAGCCACTTGGATTTTGGTAATAATTGCTTTCTCAATCTATGTAAATACTTGGCGCAGTGTTTGGTATGTACTGGATGATAAATATCTATTGACTTAATAGAGAAAATAAAGACAAAAACTAGATCAAGGGACAATACTGAGGGAAGAGGCTTTAAAGATGGATTTGATTCTCCATAGCCTTTGAAATCTCAGAGACCTCTTATGCATAAGAACTTATGAGAGTTGGTAGTGAAGAAATAGGGGTGCTAGCCAGCTCATGCTGAGAGATACATGTGCACACACAGCTGTTTCAAAATCTGGTACTTACTTATTGAGATTCTCCAGGGCAGCAGCCAGATGTTTGGAGTCAAACCGACAAGAGTAATTTAATTCATTTGCAATCTGTTGTCTGAGAATCTGCATCTGTCCAACCTGTGAACCAGCAAGAGAGAACACCGAGAACACATCAGGGGACTCCAAGGTGACACATTTTCTTGGCAAGGATCACAAAGTTCCACAGGAGTAGCTAAGGATTCTCCTGGACTGGCTGCAGGGGTCACTAAGACCAGAACCCTAGACTTTAGGAAGCGCGAGAGACCTTTCAAGAAAAGGATGGATAGACTTCTGTTGGCCAACTTCAACTAACCTGGAAAGTCAACTATTTCACAAAATGATCCACTGCTGCTCGGTCACTCGTGCATTAAGGCTATTTTTTTTGAAGCTATGTTTTCCATCTTTTGGATTACAGGTTAGTAGTTGCAATAAGAAGCCCGATTTTTTATTTCTCCTCTACTGATCATTCTCAAGTTCAAGGATTTCATCCTCATATTCTAAAACGTGATGAATAAAATCTCAGGATTATAGATTATGTATTAACCTGGATTATATAATAATCTACATAAAATCTAACAAGAATGCCTCTATAACAATAATGACTCCCTCAATCTAGGCATTCTTAACATTTGGAAGCCCTTTGGGAATCCGGTGAAGCCTATGGGCCTAGTTTCAGAGTTGTTTTTGTTAGGTGCTATTGTGATCCTGTGGACAACAGAACAAAACACTGTCCAGTCACACAAGTTGTGAGCCATCCTCACAACTGTTGTTATGCTAAAGCTCACTGTTGCAGCCACTGTGTCAATCCATCCCAGTGAGGATCCTCCTCTTTCTCACTGACCCTCTACTTGACCAAGCATGATGTCCTTCTCCAGGGACTGGTCCTTCCTAACAACATGATCAAACTACAAGAAATGAATTCTGGCCATTCTTGCTTCAAAAGAGCATTCCGGCTGTACTACTTTCAAGACAGATTTGTTTGTTCTTCTGGCAGTCCAAGGTATAGTCAGTATTCTTTGTCAACATCATAATTCAAATGCATCAGTTCTTCCCTGGTCTTCCTTATTCATCATCCAGTTTTCATGTGCATATGCGGTTATAGAAAAAATCATGGCTTGGGTCAGGTACACCTTAGTCTTCAAAGTGAAGTCTTTGTTCATTAACTCTTTAAAAAGGTCTCCTACAGCAGATCTGCCCAATGCACTATGTTGTTTGATTTCTTGAGTGCTGCTTCCATAGGTGTTGATCGTGGATCCAAGTAAAATGAAGTCCTTGACAACTTCAATCTTTTCTCCATTTATCAAGATGCTATTGGTCCAGTTGCAAAGATGTTTATATAGAGGTGTAATCCATACTGAAGGCTGGAGTCTCTGATCTACATCAGTAAGTGCTTTAAGTCATTTTCACTTTCAGCAAACAAGGTTGTTTCATCTGCATATTGCAGGTTGTTAATGAGTCTTCCTCCAATCTTGATGCTGGGTTCTTCTTCATATAGTCCAAGTTCTCGTTACTCAGCATACAGATTGAATTAGTATGGTGAAAGGATATAACCCTGATGCACACCTTTCTTCATTTTAAATCATACAGTAGTACCTTCTTGTTCCATCAAATAGCTACCTCTTGGTCTATGTACAGGTTCCTCATGAGCACAGTTAAGAGTTCTGGAATTCCCATTCTTTGTTATCCATAATTTGTTATGACCCACATAGTCAAATGCCTTTGCTTAGGCAAAAAAACAAAGGTAAACATCTTCCTGGTATTCTCTGCTTTTAGCCAAGATCTATCTGATATCAGCAATGATATCTCTCCTTCCATGTCCTGTTCTGAATCCAGCTTGAATTACTGGCAATTCCCTGTCTATGTACTATTACAACTGTTTCTGAATTATTTTCAGGAAAATTTTACTTGAGTGTGGTATTAATGATAATGGTTGATAATTTCCACATGCTTGGAATGACCTTTCTTTGCCATGGGCATACATATGGATCTCTTCCAGTCAGTTGTTGGCCAGGTAGCTGTCTTCCAAGTTTCTTGGTGTAAACAAGTGAGCACTTCCAGCACTTTTAAATGCACAAAATAAAACATATAAGATAAAAATGGAAACTGATGTTAACAAAGATAATTACCAAACTATTGAAACCAAATTTGAATTATAAAGGTATATTAACATGGTGGATTTAACAACTTCTGTAATTTCAAAGTAGTGATGAACATAAATGATATCTGGAGTTATCAACAATAATCGGTGGGTAAGATGAAGCTATCTTTGGGTCAGGCTGAGACAGAGAACAGCTTGCTCCCCAAAGTTTCTTGCCTCATAAAGTCAATAAGACACTCTAAGTTTCTGTGCCAGCCTCTTTTCTTCTCTTCTACTCTGAGGAAGGTATCCCTATAAAATTGGGTGCTTTATAATGCCAGAAACAATAACATGGAAATGAACACACTGCCTCTGAGTTGTTGGAGGGAAGTTAAGAAACAGAGAGAAGCCATCTGAAGGAATAAAGAAATGCTATTATTTAGATAAATAGAGCTTAGAACAATGAGAAAGTGTTAACTGAAGAGAGGACACTTGGGGCAGTGAGTTTATGCTAACAGGTGAGGAGTAACTCAGAAAGGGAGGGTGAGAATAGCTGCATGACTCAAAGAATGTAACCAGCGCAGTGAGTTACACACGTGCAAACTGCTGAGCTGGTGCATGTCTTGCTGTGCACATAAACAAGCGCTGACTGATCTTGCACGTACTACTTCCAACCACTATTCTACTTACGTATAAAGAATACACAAATCCCAAAAATGCTATTTATAAATAAGAAAGCTTTTATTTACAGGAAATATTATTTAGAAATCAGAATAGGGCATGGCCATGTAAACAGTAGGCTTTAGTCTATGCCACGCTGTTCCTCAAACCTTCTGTCTGGGCCCAATAATTTCCTGCTGAACTCTAGGTATGGTACATCTAGGTTACCCAAGCTCAAGGGTTCTCCTGAAAGTATCACTCTAGAAATGGGAATAGAAAGTCAACTGCATACAGTTTGCTCTCATTTCACACACCAATCTCAGGGATCATAACTCTCACTGACTACACTTCCTTAATAAGCTACTGAAAAGGTTAAGGAGCCTGGTGATGGAAAATTCATTCTCCCTAGACATTGACCTATTTAGAGATATACAGTATATCATTTTTTCTCATGATTTCTCTAAAGTTGTACTGTCCAATACAGTCTCCAACCTCATAAATCTACTTAAATTCAGGTAAAATGGACTAAAATTAAAAATTCCCCTCTTCAGTCACATTAGCTACATTTCAAGTGCTCAACAGCTACATGTAGCCAGAGGCAACTGTTCTGAACAGCAAAGAACATTTCCATTGTTGGAGAAAGTTCTTCTGGGCAGTGCTGCTCCAGTTCAACATTGGTTCAGTGACGGCAAGCTGCCTCTTTCAAAACGAGAAGACAAATTTGTCCTTGGGGGTTTTATGTGAAGATCACTGGCTCAGGCATAACCCCCTGGATCCTTGAATTGCCACCAATTGTCTGTAACTGATAACCTTCTGTAAAAGCCACTGGACTGTGACCCCTCTAGCAACCAAGAGGAAACCTCCAGGCCTCTCTGAAGAATCACTGTAATCTTCCTAGGCATCTACAGAGAAGAAATAGCCTGTCCAACCACAGCTATGTCTGATTCCTCCTAAAAGGTTTTCTAGCAAATAGAAACTTGGCCAACTAAAATCGCAGTATCTGAAAATTACGAGGTTATGGCAATGTCAAACTTATATAACAAGAGGACACCTATCAGACTAAAGCTTCCTTGGACTACTTATCATGAGTTTAGCATTCAAAAAATTCACTGAAATTATGAAGACTATACTGCACATCAGCTCTTGTGGCGTAGTGCCTAAGGCATTTGACTGCTAACCAGAAGGCTGGTGGTTCAAACCCACCAGCCACTCCTAGGATGGAAGATTGGGCAATCTACTTCTGTAATGACTGCCTCAGAAACCCAAGGATGGGTCGCTGTGAGTTGGACCCGACTTGACAGCAGTGGGTTTGGTTTGTTTTGGTATACTGTACATCTGGCTGAGACACCAATGAATACTATCTCAGTAATTACCATTTAATTGGGAATAAAAGAATGGAGCTTTTCCAAATTCTCACAGTATTCTAAGCTTTTCCAGTGGTATGTCAAAATTATAACTGTGAATCAGTTTTCCACCAGAAAATCTATCACTAGAATGTAAGCAGGCTTTCTGTGGATGCAGACATTATTTCCCTGAGCTCTACCTCTCATAGCAACTGACAATGCTTTGTACATAACAGGTGCTGAATTAAAGGCTGCTGACCATCTTGCTCCTCGGATGATGAAGACCACAGAGGGTCTCTGGGGGCCGCTGCCAGTGTAAAGGCAGAAAGGTTGGTGAGCAGACTCTAAATCACTGGATTCCCACCCAGCAGGTTAATCTCATTTCTCTATCTTCATCATTTCCAAAGACACTGTGTTTTGCTGCCAATATAAAGACTGCCCTGAAGAACTTGGCATTCTAGCATCTATGTGAACATCAGAGAGAGGAGAGAGACAGGATGTACTATTCCACCAGCTACTTGGAGTACATAAGTTTATCAAATGAACCTGTGATGTAAGGCTTGAGTATTACCGAGGTGGAAAAGTTTTCACTTACTTGTATGGAAGCCCTCTTGCAATGAAATAGCTTTTCAAAAACAAATAATTTCTGAGTAAAAAGAAAAATAGGCCAATGGAAAGCAAAGGCCATCATCAAGAACAGCCCCAGGAAGGAAGTTAAAGAAAGAAAGGAATTTAGAATTGATGATAGAAACCAGAGTGTTACATATATATTTATGTAATAACCAAAGAAGGAAGTATAGCTTTCTTTGGGCATCAAAGCTACAGGAAAAGAACAATTTAGAAAATAGAGGATTGACCATCACACTCAAGGGTGGTCCCCCTGCCCCACATCATACCTTCATTATAGCCTCGAGATAAGCTGTCCAAATCTTCTGTGTTTTGGCAATGGCAGAAAAATAAATTTTATTCGAATTTGCTGAAAGGTTAAAATAGAATTTTCTGTTTAGTAAAATGTGGAAAGGCTGCAGTGTTAGCTCTACCACAGATGAGTTTCAGCAACACTTACCAACAATGCTTTTTAGGGGGCTGACGGCATTCATGAGGGTTTTTAGAGTGTCTTGAACAGTTCTATCTCGCAGGATAATTTTCTGAAACATACTGAGGAAATTCTACAAACAAGAAGGCATGATCAAAGAAGCAAACACCATGAGCAAAATGAATCAATACCCTAGTGAATCAAAATGCTACAGAGAACAGAGACTCGGCCTACATCACATGCCAGACCTACAGACAGGATCACAGAGGAAAGCAGTCACTTTGGGTCCTTATTTAGAAATATCCCCCGTGAAAAAGCAGTTACTGGTCCAAAGATAAAAGGCCTTCCCAAGTTGAAACAAAAGCAAATCACCCTTCAAAGCACCACACTCAGCCCCAAACATTCCGGTTTATTCTCAGGTCTCTTCTGTCTAATATATGCCTGACGTTTGTGTAAGGAGGCGGGAGAGGAGAGTCAAAGGAGCGTCAGTTGTCCAGCAAGCTCTATCTCGTCTCTCCCGGGGCAGCAGAACATAGCAGGCTCACCTGTAACTCTTTCACAATCATGAAGCACAGAAGTCTGTCTAACCCATTCAGACCGAAGGTCCCCAGGGTGGTCTGGATTTCTGAGAAGAGGCGACTGCTGGTCACTTCTTGACGAGTTTTCATATCATACCAAGTGTTGAGCTGGTCAATGTGACACGTCATTCTTGATAAAACCAAAACAAAAGAAAACCCCAAAAGTAGTTTAGAATTCATCCTAAAGAGATGTGGGGACTCATCATTGGATTTGAGGCATCCAATATGAAGGATTTGTGTTTTCTAACTTCTGTGTGTATGCATCAGATACACCTTATGGTGACTGCCCCACCGGCCAAACCAAACCAGGAAAAAAAAAAAAAAAAAAAAAAACCCAACCAAACTCAGTGCCAGCGAGTTGATTCCAATTCACAGGGACCCCCACTGGGTTTCCAAGGCTGTAAATCTTTACAGAAGTAGATTGGCCCATCTTCCTTCTGCAGAATGGCTGGTGGGTTTGAACTGCTGACCTTCTGATCAATGCCTTATCCACTGCACCACCGCAGCTCCTTGCCCAGTAAATCAAAATTAAAACTCAGGTAAACCACTTTTCCTACCCTAACTATGATATGAGTGATGCATTTCCCTGAGTTGAATATTGTTTTAAGCCATGCTCACAACACAAAGTTAGGCTTTCTTGTCAAGGTGGAAGACTGTGGAGCCCAGCTGTCTCTCCATATAGTTGTCCTTGAAAGTTTCAGAGACAAACTAGAGTCTGTGGCCACTACCACGGTGGTAAAGGAAGGGACATGGAACTCTCATATGATAACATATGATAACATAGGATATGACACACGTCCAACTCAACTATGCATGAACAGCTGGAGAAAGAAATCATTCTCTTCCTGGGGCATTCCAGCAACTGCCCACTTAGTGAGCACATACCCAGGATGAACAAGAGACAGAAGACATGAACCTGCTCTTCCCTCAGATGGTCTTAGTACCAACTGCTTCATCTGAGATTTAAGGGAGGAACAAGGAGGAAAAATACGCTCTGCTGGATTTGCTGAGAGAGGCAGCACGTCAGTCCCAACATGGTGTCCATTTACCTAAAATGTTCTCAAGGGCAGTTTTGATTATATAAAATTTTTGCCCAGTTCTTGCTGACTTTAGAACCCATGGGGCTAAAATGTAAAGTGGGCCTCCCTGTATGTCAGAGCCAACAGAGCCATGTCATGTGTGCCCTTGAACAGCACAGCGTCAGAGCTGGGCTCTGGACTCACGAGGGGTCTGGTACTGTGGGTCCACTACCTATTAACTGTGTGGTCCTGAACAAGTGACTTAGCCTCTGAGCCTCAGTTTCTTCATCTTTAAAATGGAAATAACAACAATACCTACTAGCTGAGACTGCTGTAATGAATCAATGAATGTATGTTATAATGTGCTGAGAACAGTGCACAGGGTAAGTGCTCAATAAATGTTAGTTCTTACTCTCAAAAATGCTTTGTGTGTTGGGCTAAGAAACAAGGAGGTAATCTTACAGGGTAATGGGAAAACCCAAACCAAACCCATTGCCATTGAGTCAATTCCAACTCACAGTGACTGACAAATAACAGCCCCATAGGGTGTCCAGGGCTATAAATCTTTACGGAAGCAGGTGGCCCATCATTGTCCTGCAGAGTGGTTGGTGGACTCAAACTGCCAATCTTTCAATTAGTACCTGAGTGCTTTAACCATCATGCTACCAGGGCTCCTTTATATGCTGACAACACAAGATCTAGTATTAGTTTGGGGTAGTGTGCCAGTTACAAAAGGTACAGTTGAACAATTTGTAATAAACAGTTTTAAAATATTGAGGGCTTCACAGGGCCCAGGGAGAAGAGTTAAAAAGCAGGAGCAGCAAAGATGAAAGGGTGGCCACAGAGACCTTAAGCTTGTGTCAATCTACGTTCCATTGGATGAGGACCTTCTACTCACAGTGGGGAAAACATGCAGCCCCAAGGGAGTAAATTTGAGTGAACTCATCAATAGAGATTCAACTGTGGCAGAAATAAGGGCGTGATCTGAGGATACACAATACATGTCTGGAGACTATGACTGTCCACGTGTGCAAGGCTATGAAATTCACGTGCACCTACTTTGGGTCTGTGATCCGCAAGATTTCTCTGCAGAGGCGACCAATAAATGTTATGGACTCGTCCACAGGGGTAAACTTTGGTATTGGAATATGAGTGGACTGGTACATACTTTGCCAGTCTTGAATCTAGAAAACAAAACCATAAGTATTTAGTATTTCTTTGATAATATAACTGTTCTTTTTCCACACACTTTGACAAAGATAATATTGCATGATGACTGATGATAAATGGTCCTTGATTCTGAAGAAGAAACTTTAAAAAATGTATTAATAGCCTCCCAGAATGCCACTTATGAAAAAAACATTTGTGAGAAAGTGAAGGGACTGAGAAGAAGGGTGAAGAGGAGATTTAGGAATGAGTCCAAAGGACTAATGGACCACACGAACTCCAGCCTCCACAACTCCGAGACCAGAAGAACTTGATGGTGGCCAGCTACCACTGCCAACGCTTCGAAACGATCACAAGAGGAGGTACCAGATGGAGTGGGAGAAAAATGTGGAACAAAACTTAAAATCATAAAATGACCAGACTTACTGGTCTGATAAAGACTGGTAGAACCCTTGGGACAATGGCCCTTAGACAACTTTCAAGCTGCGAAGTGAACTCATTCCCGTGGGTCAACTTTCAGCCAAATGAGAGGCCTCTAAAGTGAACAATAACACCAGGAAGGTATACTATACGCTCATTAAAACAATCAACCATACAAGATCAAAAAGGAGCATTTGCCCAGGGATAAAGCTCAGAAGGCAGGAAGGGACAGGAAAGGACAAAGGCAAACGGTAAACACACGGAGGAAGTGGGAAGAGTGCTGTTACACTGTCGGGACTGTAATGAATATCACAAAATAAAATGTGTATGAACTGTTGACTGGAAAACCAATTTGCTCTGTAAACTTCCACCCAAATTACAGTAAATAAAACAAAACATACTAACTTTCAAAAAAAAAAAAAATTTAGGAATTTCTGGCTTTTTGTCTTATGAGAACACACATCAGAGTTATAGGAAAGTTCAGGATATCCCAAGGCTTGAAGATACTTAATCTTTCCAAAATGTCAGGGGAATCACATCAATTCCCTACTCAACTACTTGCAGAATGGCTCCTTACTACTTACTGATGAAAATCAAACTCCTTTGCTTTGGCACCTAAGAATTTTGATGCTGACCTGGCCTCTTCGTTTTCTTTGGTGTGACTATTTTCTGTTCTGGCCAGCAGTGCTCAGCTGTTCCTGACAAAGCCTTGTCTTACCAGCACACTTTGGATCCTGCCACTTCTATTTCTGCATCTCCCCGACCACTGAAACCCTCTAAGGTCCAGTCTGAGTGCTACCTCCTATACGAAGCCCAAATGAAGAAGTCCTGAGTCTTCTGAACTCCTCGCCACTTGGATTATAAGTTACATTTTTGTAGCCATTTGAGTATGTCTGCTTCCTCCTCAAGGAACCCTGGTGCTTCAGTGGGTAAGCACTCAGCAGCTAACTGAAAGGTCAGCAGTTCTAATCTACCTAGAGGCTCTGTGGTAGAAAAAACCTAGATATCTGCTTCCATAAATATTCCAGCCTAGAAAACCCTATGGGGCAGTTCTGCTGTGTCACATGGGGTCACTATGAGTCCGAATCAGCTGACCGACAACAATAACAGCTTTCTCCTTTGGACAGTAACCTCCCTGAGACCAGATGCCATGTCAACTCTTCTGCGCTCCCCACACGCCTGAAGGTATGCCCAAGGTATTCATGACTGTCTACTGCCCACTGATTTTCACTAACTATTTAAACAAACTTTCTTCTTGGTATTTCTGAGATTTAGGTGTTGTATTTTTCTGTCAAAAGTAACAAACATGGTCAAGAATTTAAGAAATTATTTTGATACCTTTGTTCTTAAGAAGTTATTACACTCTTGCTCCACATTATAATTTATAATACGAGAGACTTCTTCCTGCCAAATCTTCAGACCATAAATGTTGACATAGTCTTGTATGTATTCAAAAGAACGATGGAATCCATCCATGGTAGCCCCCAACTCTTTCAGCTTGGGCATCAGTTCACTTGGCTGTGCAAACGGGGAAAAGTAATTCTATTACGTTGGAGTAGATAGCCAACCACTCACACTTACATTAGACTTTAAATGGTATAGCAAATAAGAGACCAGAGTCACTGCTTAATAGGGCTTTGGAAATACTCCTCTTCCAATTCACAACTGATGTAAGACACTCAGCAAACACTAGATGCCATTCACTTGGGACGAAAACTGCATACAAAGGCAGATGAAAAACGGTGTGGATTATTTCTCTCATGCCGTTTGACAAATACACCTAATCTGAAAACACTTACAATACTTTAAATTGGATTTACTGAGGTAAAGAATACCCTAATATAAATTTCAGGCCTAATTATTTTTCTCTGAGACCATATTCTATAATAGATAGGAGCTCTGGTGGCGCAGTGCCTAAGGCATCTGACTGCTAACCAAAAGGCTGGCGGTTCAAATTCACCAGCCATTCCTCAGCAACCTACTTCTGTAATGATACTGCCTTGAAAACCCAAGGAAAGGTCACTATGAGTCAGATCTGACTCAATGGCAGTGAGAGAGAAGTTAAGAAGTAATTACATCAGAAACATCAGTTCAGTTCTTAAACTTGTGGATCAGCAGGTGAAGGAAAGGCATGGGCTTCAGAAAGGATTTTTCTCATAATGTGACTGGATTGTAATGGAAGATCAAAAAACACTTCATTTGTTTCTGTTGAAAATCATAATCATTAGATATATATCGGTAAGAAGAAAAGTCTAGCTCCTAAGAGGTTACAAATGGTGCTCTAGTCCATTTTGCAAACTGAGTGGAGAGAAAGAGTAGAGTGATTTTGGTCATTTGGTACCTTGGCTCGAGGGTTGAAGATCAATCCTCGATGAAGGGCAAAAGCGACACGTTTAACTAGCTCCTTCCTTATTCCGTCTTCCAGCAACTGTTTAGGATCTACCTAAATGCACATCAAAAAGCAATAAATGGCAGTTAGGGCAAGTTTGATCTTAAATAAATCCAGAGGAAACATGGTGTCTAGAATTCACCACAGAACTTTCCTACCTCATCTCTGAATGATCTGGACTTTTTTCCTTCCCTGCCCCCTTTGACCTTGGGCAATATGGACAGAATTATGAAACTACTCACCTTTTTAGAACTTGGTTTGCCTCACTGAAACTCATGAGGGTCATTTTACAACAGAACTTTTCAAATATAGGGAGTATGGCAGATTTTAAATTGCCTCACATTTTTATCATTTCTTTAAAACTAGTAAGTGCCTTTCCTTATCACTAGGAGGAGGTACTGGAATGAAAGGTTGAATTCAGATGTGCCATTCCTCTCAATGTCGTCTCAAGAAATTTATATTCACATGAGGAAAACCAAGTTTAGTGTTGGACCACTCTGTGGAGTTAACAATTCTGTTTCTTTGACGTGCTGTTTGTAATTAGGCAGATAAAATCGAAGCACATCTAGTACCTGACTCGACAAGCCTATATTGCTGATTATTTTTTCTGTAATGCCAAAGACTTTTTTTATTTCCAAAAAGACAGTAGGATCCAGAAAACATCATGTAATTTCCCCACACCATCTTGAATTCCCTGAGAGTTGCTCTTTGACTTTTAATTTGTAAAGAACCATTGTTTTTTTAAAAAGCCATAAGGAGGTAACTGATAGGCTTTATCTGGTTTTGATTGTCCTTAAACTTACAGAAGAAAATTATAATAATGGTGCAAACAATGAAGGTTGAAAGTTTGAAACCCATTCAGTGGCTCCACAGGGGAATGAATGACGAGGCAATCTGTCCCCACAAAGACGACTGCCCAGGAAACTCCACGGGGCAGTTCTACTCTGTCACATGGGCTGCCAAGAGTCAAAATCAACTCGGCGGCACACGACTAGGCTTCATGGACTAGTATCAGTGCTTACTTTGATAATGCCAACCAAAGTCGTCTTCATCATTAAGATGCCTTCAGTAAAAATGGAGATAGCATGAGTAAGCTTGGCAACCTTTAACAAAGAAAAAGAGAGACAATTAAGTACTTCAGGCAAAACACCCACCATTTCCAGGCAAAGCTGTAATAACTGGCTGTTAGTCCCGTCACGGTCAAAGAACAGAAATGAATCTGCCTCAGGACTCCTGTGTGCACTTCAGATACACTGGGTGAAGGAGGAAGAAGACATTTATTAGCTCTTTCACTGTTGATAGGTCATTGCCCCTCCTTCGGGCTTCAATTTCTGTTCTCCAACCAGTGAGAGGATGGGACTCAATAAAGTGGAGGTTATCTTCCAGCCAGAAAAGGGCACCTGAGACTCTGAGAAGTAACTGTCCTCCACGTTCTTTTCAAGCACACCAGACAGACAGACAGATATGGCAGACGGAAGTATGAGTCAGAATAAACGTGGAAATACCAAGCTTAGGAATCCGAATTCTTGCTGTACTTTTTGGCGTGGTGCCAGAAGATGTGAAATGCACATCAGACGTTGCTTTTTCTAGTTTTGCTTTTCAAAACTTTAATTTTAAGTCCAAAAAGAAAGCAAAGCAGAGGTATTTGTGAAGAACATCTCAGTGCGCCTAACTATTGAGTGGGCTTCAAAGTCTGGCCAGAGAATGGGGTTAATGGAATATGGATTATTTTGAGCCAGTGGAATGGTGCATAAAGCAGGAACTTGAATATGAAGTCTAGGGAATCCTGTCCGAAGGGAAGTAGGGCTGATTTACCAAAACTGCTCAAGAGGAAAGTGACCAGCTGAGCTCCCCTTCCACGGAGTGACAAGCAAGGCATGAAATGATACCAGGCAAAGTGCAGAGTGAAAGCAGGATGGCTCTAAACTGGCTCCCCGTGGTTGTCACTGAGCAAGTGAAAACCAATCACCACTGCTCCTGTGGTCCCAGGGGCAGGGCCAGCCATGCTGAGGATGGGCTCTCAAGGTTCCTTGGGAACCTGTGAAATTTCACGGTTTTTAGTTTTAAGTCTCAACTGGCAAAAGTCACAGGAACACAGCACCTCGTATCGTGGGCCAAGCTGGGCATAGTCCCTCAGCTTGTCTTTGTCCAGGCGGGTAGGCACTTCAATGATATCATGGGTCTGAAGCTTTATGATCTTCAGAAGAGATGTAAACATGCTTTCTGGAATGATCTGCAAAACCTTTAATGAAAGGGGAAAAGAGGAAAAACTACTGAACACCTGTTTTTTTTTCTTAGCTGATAGATGTTAACCCACCAGCCACTCCTCGGAAGGAAGGCTGGGTGATCTACTTCCATTGAGATACCGCCTTGGAAACCCAAGGAGGGGTCGCTATGAGTTGGATCTGACTCGATGGCAGTGAGTTTGGTTTTTGGTTTGATAAATGTTAGGATGCAGGGTGCCAGCATTTACAACCAGCATTTTTGTCCACAGGAAGCGATGCCAAAAATCTTATAAGGGCTGTTTTAGTAGCTGCTACTGTGCATATTGATAAGGTTTGGGATGGATGGGCCATTAAGCTGGCTCAGGTCTGGGCAATGTTCCCTTTTGTTATACATAGTAAGATGCCATGATTCGGAGTACACTCCACAGCGACTAACCCCAACCATGCGCAGGGCTGTGTTTCTTCAAACATTAATAACTCACAGATCATAAAGTTGCTCCTCATAGACACACTGTGAGAAAATGTACCATTCCCACATCACAGATTTTAGAGATGAGGTCCAGAGACACTGAGTAAAACTGCCTGTGATTGTTCAACTAGTAAGTGACAGTTTGATTTTGAACAGACAGGCCTGACTGCTGCATAATTGATTAAAACAAAGGATTGAAATCCCCACAAAAACTTTAATTAGGTTCTGACTAGGATATGTTAGCTCTAGATCTGGCTCTTTTACCAATTAGCTCCATGCCCTTGAAGAAGCCACTATAATCTCTGTCCCTCAGTTTCCACATCTTGAAATGGGGGCCAACACCACCAGCATTTAAAACATAGTTATACAGATTCTTTGCAAGTGAAAACACTCCTGCACACTCAGAGTAGAAGTAAGAATACGTCTGTTTTCAGGTACTGCAAACTTCAGGAGTCAAAGTGAAAATAAGGGAAGGAATATAGTTATGTTTTTACAGGGCCCCAAACGTATCTTTTGCATTTAAAACAGTCAATAAGTCAAACGGGCTTTGATAAATTTCTTACCTTTCTCACATAGGACACCAATTCACCAGAATAGTACTGAGACACACTGAGAAGGTCGGGGCTATTTGCTTGGTTAATGCGAAGAAGGGGCAGGTCAAGGGCAGAGGCAAGCTGGAAGACAAGACCTCTTTCTTTGTAAGTGTCCCAGAAATCTCCCTCTTACCAAAAATGGTAATAAACAACAAAGCTCTTGGGAGCAACAACCACTGCATCTCATCAGTCCCATTAGCAGCTTCTTACTTTACATGAAGGAACAGAGGTGTCATTAAAAAAAAGAAAAAGACAGTCATCTGCTATGGTGGTGGTTCCCAAAGTGTGGACCCCAGACCTGCTGTATCAGCATCCGCTGTAGCTCATCAGATGCAATCAGAGACTCTGTGGGTGCAGCCCAGCCCTCTCTGTGGTAGCAAGCCTTCCAGGAGATTCTGATGCAGGTTCAAGTTAAAGATTCACCGTGCTACAGGAGAAACCCACTCCTCTATGGATATGAGACAGTTCAATTGATGGAACACTGTACTCAATCCGACCTAAGACGTGCACCACCAAGAAAGGAAAAAAAAGCTGACAATTAAAGTCTACATGGGAGCTCTGGTAGCATAGTGCCTAAGGCACTTGACTGCTAAGCAGAAGGCTGGTGGTTCAAACCCACCAGCCACTCCTTGGAAGGAAGGTTGGGCATTTCTACTTCCGTAGTGATACTGCCTCGGAAACCCAAGGAGGGGTCGCTATGAGTTGGGGCCGACACGATGGCAAATAACAACAACAACAAAGTCTACATGCCATCCATTATACAACCCTTCCCAATTAAAGAGATAGGAAACTATGAAAAAAAAAGGACATCTCAGAATTGATCATTCCTTTCTAAGAGACTGAATAAATTACTTGTTCATTAATCACCACCTGAAATTAATCTGAGAGTAAAGTACATGTGTGTTGTTTACCACTATCCCTAACCTTTAGACTAGAACCTAGTTGTAGGATATACTCAATACGGATTGTTTGAAATCTTCACACCCCTAACAAAAATGATCCCCTAAAGTCATCTTTAAACTAGTAAACAATGCTCATCATGAGAATCATTTGTAGATCAAAATGTCAACAGGAACTCTAGAGGTTCCAGGGGTAGTGAGTTTAAGATGTGGTGGTGAACCACATGGATGGATAGTGAAAATGCTGACACACGGGAAGAAGACAGTCAGTGTTACTGAAATTTACAAGTAGAAACTGATGAATGGGTGTACATTTTCCTGTGTATATTTTTACCAAAATTAAAAAAAAATTGTTTGAATAAATACAAAAAAGGACTGAATTCATGTAGGGAATAATAAAAGACCATGGGACTCACTTCTAGCACATTAATAAAACCGCAAATAGCTTTTGTTCATTTAAATACAATTTTTCTGTAAGAAACTCCAATTATTAATTCAAAATTCAAATGTTTCTGGTGTCTTCTGAAACTATGCTCTCATGGAAAAATTGCTAACAATTTTCAGTGTAAGAAGATACTCAAAAATGTATCTAACTTTCCACAAGGATGAAATCATGGGCTGAATTAGCGAATGAGGCAATAATGAAAGCTAATACTTCCCTAGGAACTGAGGTGGTAGCTCATGGCTCTCTCCTTACCTTGAGGAACGTAGCCCTGAGTTTAGTCACCATGGATGGGTTTACCCTTATGCTCTCCTGCATGATGGAGGTAAAGCTGTAAACAGAGATACAGGTGAGATGATGACTAATGTGTCCTTCATCGAGGGCAAATGGGAGGCTGTCTTGACTTGGTTTGGAAATAATAGATGTCCCCACGTCCACATCATTACCTGTCAATTAACTGCCAAGCAAAGGAAAGGTCCCCGACGATCTGCATGGTGATCAGGACCTCCTCTTTAATGTTAATAGTTCTGATCATTTGGTGGAGAAACTTGCGAGTATCAGCAAGAAACTGACATACTTGCAGATTTGATTCTAACTGGTGAAACTCTTGAACCTGTGTTACACAAACATATTTCATATAAAATTCTGAATGGCCTCTACCACGTTCATTGTTGCTCAAAAACACTCCAAGTAAAGCATACTGTGAGAATGTCTGCATTTCAGATTACAAGTTTAGAACTACAGAAGCCAAGTCATCAAACAATGCACATGTTCCCACAGTTAGAAGGCATCCCACTACTTCATATCCTGTACATGTACGGCACAGATTTGAGTATCAATGAACATATACTGTAAAATCCTTCTAACTCTGAATATTTTTATGACTTCTA